TGTGTGTGTGTCCCTGACGATCCTCCTACTGACCCACTGTGTGTGTCTCTCTGATGATCCTCCTACTGACCCACTGTGTGTGTGTCCCTGACGATCCTCCTACTGACCCACTGTGTGTGTGTCCCTGTGATCCTCCTACTGACACAAGGTGTGTGTATTCGTCAATCCTCCTTTGACACAGAAGTGTGTGTGTGTTTACCTGACAATCCTTCTGCTGACACTGAGCTTTTCCCCTCCCCGACACTCTCCCTTCTGTTCCCTTTACAAAGGAACAGGTGGGATTGATATTGCAGGTAAGAGCTGAGGCAGGGAGGAGGCAGGAGACAGGGAGGCAGGATGGCAGCTACCATGTGCTAGGACCACACTGGCCCTGCTCTCTGAGCCCGGGCTTAGGGCTTCCTCCTACAGTGACCCGTGTTTCCCAAAAAACATACCTTTCCTTCCCTCTTCAACTTGACGTTGCTGTATTTGGGAACTCTTCCCTCTAGTGAGCTCCTGGGTGTCAGTTCTCGGTATATTACCCCCGTATCAGAGAAGTAAAGCCCATCCATATGTTGTGTCTGCATTTTAGTAATAATTCTAGTGATTCCAGGTGATGAGCATGAGGAGTTACTATTTTTTTCTGTTTGTTTTGCTTTTGTTTTTAAGGCACATGATGGTGTGTTGTCGTTGAGGCCCAGGGACAGAACTCCCCTGACCCGGGACTCTGTTTCTGCCTCACAGCATCCACTGTCAGTCCCACTGGACTAGACTCCTTATATGTGTGTGTGCACATGTGCAGGGGCATCAAAATATTTGTGTGGGTGTCATGAGTGCGAGCATATACACATGTGAGTGTGTGTGTAAGTTTTTATTTGTGCATGTGCATGAATGTGTGTGTTTTCCCTCTTACCCCAGAAATACCCACCCCATAGCTTCCTCATCAGCTGTCTTGCCCAAGGCCTCTGGTACTGGGCTCCACACCCCTCCTGCTGTGGCTGCTTGTTCTAGTCTCACTGCAGGGCTCTGTCCCCACAGGACACACCAGCATTTAGGGATTGTCATTTCATTCCTGCAAGTTTTCATTTTATAAATTAGTTTATTAATATTTGTTACAACAAATTTCAATGAATTTAGGGGCTTACAGCAACACGAATCTGTTATTTTACAATTCTGGAGATCAGAAGTCCAAAACAGGTCCCATTGGGCAGGAATCAGTGTGATGGGGCTGGCTCCTCTGGGGGGTCCTCAGCAAGCCCCTTCCTGGCTTGGACTGTGTCTGGAGCTTTAGCTCCTGGCTCAGAGTTCCTTGCTCTGTGTTCAGAGATAGAGATGTCTGCAGGTCTAGCCTGTGGTGTGGACTTGTTGCTGAGTCTCTTTATCTAGGAAAGATGGAAGGTACGTGGAAGGATCATGGCTACTTTGAGCTCACTCAGAGAACCCAGGGAGATCTCTGTCCCCAAGGTACCTGGCCTGACATACCCACAGCTCCAGGGTTAGTGTGAGGACATCTTTTGGGGTATCACTTGGGTGACCACAGCACTCTCAGATGTTTAGATCCTAAACTTCCTATTTAGCTCATGTTATGTAATCCATGTAGAGGTCACACTGAGGTGCTCTGTGATAATGTGGAAATGAGAGGAACATGATGGCTTCCTGCCTGTTCTTCTAAAACTTGCATGCTGGGGACTGTAGAAAAGACATCTGCTGTTTCCAGAGTTACTTGACAGAGATTTGGGTTCAAAGCCTAGAGCAAGGCACAACTGAAGTTTTAGCATTTGATTTGACAAGCTAAAACCAAAATTTGTGCGCCCGGAAAAACCTGTTCTTCCCAATCTCAGTAAATGGTGTTTCTTGTTTACACTGGAAGACAGTCATTGCTGATTCCTCAGCTGAGGATGGCATTGCCCAGGGAGGGCCACCTGTTCCCTGCACTTTCAGGTTCTTCGAGAGCACCCACCTTCAAGGCTTGACATTTGTGAACCAGGGTGTGAGTACCTGATGGCCAGCCTGTGTTTGTCACTTGCCTTTGGGGAGACTTGACATCCATTTCGTCAGCGAGTACTAAACATGTGTCTGGTTTAGGAACCAGGGAACAGGAGTAACAAACACACACAACTTGGGTCTTCCAAGAGTGAGGTTCTACCATAATCCCACAGCTGTAGCTGTCCATCTGAGTGTGTGAACAGTCCCGTCTGCAGTGCCTTGCTATGATGATTGCGTGGAAGGAAATGCACAGGGACCCTGTGAGTCCATATCAGGAGACTGAAATGACAGGTGGTCTGGGGTCCTGGTCTGTCACACCTCAGTGCTGAAGGTGTGGAGAAGCCCTGTCTGTGTGCTGCCAGCAGGTGGGGCTCAGGAGACAGTGGCGACTCCAATGACTCATTTTAGTACTTAATAACCTCTGATTTTGTTTTGCTTTTCACCTGTAAAATGGGGGGGAAGTGATCTAATAATGTTAATGTATCATTGGAAGAATGAGATAATCTGTATACTGATAAATACACACACCTGCACATTAGTACCTATGAAAGTGATTTGTAAATTGCAAATTGGAATAGAAATACTATTATTTGTAATTGCAGAAGATAAAGAGACAGTTCTTGTGAAACACAAATTTATGTTTAAAAAAGACAAAATTTAATCAAAATTTGATGAGTGTATTATTAGGGTTTTTGAAACTGTAATTTTTTTTTTTTTTTTCAGACAGTCTTACTTTGTTGCCCTTGGTAGAGTGGGTGTGGCATCACAGCTCACAGCAACTTCAAACTTCTGGGATCAAGCTGTCCTCTTGCTTCAGCTTCCCAAGTAGCTGGAACTATTATTTAGAGATGGAGTCTCGCTGTTACTCAGGCTGGTCTTGAACTCCTGAGCTCGGGCATTCCACCCGCCTCGGACTCCCAGAGTGCTGGGATTACAGGCGTGAGCCACTGTACCCAGCCTGAAACTGTAATTCTTGATATATTCTTTCTTCAACCTCTTAAGACATCTTGTGCTTCTGGGAAGCAGTGGCAGGTGACATCAGGTCATCTCACCGCCTGTTGCACTAAAGCTGTGAAGTCCACAGAGCTTATCACGGCAGCTTTAATGACATTTGCTGCACCTTGACAAATGTAAAATAAATAAAACCAAAATTGTGAATTGGAGACAGCACATTTAAAAATATTCAGCATAGACTTTCATTTTTTTCTACAAATGGTGAGAATTTTCCAATTTAAAAAGTCATGTCTTATTAATTATAGCTGGGAGAATTTGTAATGTGGGAGATCTTTGGGCACACAGTCTCTGATTGTGTTTTAAGAACTTTTTATCAATTGTATTGCCCCACTTGTATGGTAACTTTGCTTTATAGATGCTAACAAAAGGGTTTCTAATCAAATCTCTCACTGAAAATGCTTCTGAATTATTTTCTGATAGGAAATTGAAGGAGTCCATTTCATTTGTTTCATTTGTATTATTAATCATGAGCTCCACACCTGCACCCAGGAAATTATTACAGCTGCCTCATCCAAAGCGCAGGTGGGCGTCAGACTTAGCGTGGGCCCCACAAGCGGAAGCTGCAGTGCTCTTTCTGACTCTGCAGCCTGTCTGAGCCTGAGTCCCCCAGACAGACTCTCCCAGCCAGGCAGTCAGACTGTGGCTCTGAGGCCTGTGAAGGGTGGGAAGTACTGAGGGGTGGTGGGCAAGGTGGGTGGGAGATGAACCCTGGGAGATGGTTAAGGCAGCAGTTGTGGAGTTCAAGGGGGCATGGGAGATGCAGACAGGTGCATGTGAGAGATGCCCTGCCATGTTGTGAGAGCCAGGCAAAGGCAGGGCCCGCTGAGGGGTGGGCAGAGGCAGCCATTGATGTGTGTGGCGATCAGGTGGTGGGCTTTAGGGTACACATGGCCTGCGTGGTGACCACATATGAGCCTTCAAGAGCACATGGTCTCAGGACAACAGGACAGTGGGTCCTTGCCCACTGCTCTCTCAGAGGTCACTGGCTGCGCCTTTGTGAGCATCTGCGTGTGTGTAGTGGGGCACAGGGGCCTCCAAGGTCATTGCCATTCTGATCTGAAGTGATTACACTCATGAAGTTATTAAGTGTAAAGTGGGATAAAGATCTGAAACATTTTTTAATTTTGTCAGTGTTTCATTAATTTATGCCTTAGAGACATAGCCAGAGATTACTGGTCATATAACCTGTGGTAACAGCATAGAATGTTGTGAGGTAGTTGAATAAATCCAGCTGAGCTGTGGGAGGTCTGTGTTTATATTACAGTTTGCCACTGACTAATTTACTGTGGTCAATTTAGAAGTCACTCACATCTTGGTCCCTGACAAGATCAGTCAGTCTGGCGACCAGCTTTGGAGTGCTGATGCTTCCTAGGGCCTGGAGATTTTCCTTTATGCTTTACCACTGTGTGGTGGTTATTCCATCTCATTTGATGGTTGTGGGGTTGTGGAAGCAGATGCAGGAAGTCTGAGGAAGGGCTGCTGAGGGATCACGGGCTTGGGGTTGGGATGGAGGTGTGTTCATGTGGGAAGCCCCGAGACGGGTGGAGCCGGCACAGATGTGCCTCCTCCAGGGTTTGGGAGATCTCTCCTCTTCTCTCTTACTTGGGGTGGGAGAGATGAGCAAGGAGGTGTGATGGGAGCATATCAGTGACTGTGGACAGGCTGTGTCATGCCTGGACATGCACTTTGTGTTTTCAGACTGAAGATGGAACAGTCCCAAGGGAGTCTCCCAGCTAACAGTGGCCATGCAGGTGACATTGTCATAGAAAAGTTCTGGGTTGGATCCACAGAGTCCGCCTCCCATGCTCAGCTGGCCTGCAGCACACAGCTCTGTGCCTTCCCTCTGGGTGGAAATGGACTTTGCATACGGAGCACCAAGGACCCTTCTGATCAGGTGTGTGACATGTCACATATCAGTGTGATGAGGCCTCCATCTCCCCATATCTTCAGTGCAGTCTGGGCATTATTCCCCGGGGGCTCAGCTATCAACTAGATGGAAAAAATGATGATGAAATAAGGCCATCTATTTTAATAAATAAATGGCATGAATTTCTAATTTTTTTTTTTTAGAGACAGAGTCTCACTTTGTTCTTGGTAGAGTGCCATGGTGTCACAGCTCACAGCAACTTCCAGCTCTTGGGTTTAGGCAATTCTCTTCCCTCAGCTTCCCGAGTAGCTGGGACCACAGGCACCTGCCACAACACCCAGCTATATTTTTTGTTGCAGTTTGGCCAGGGTTGGGTTTGAACCTGGCACCCTCGGTATATGGGGCTGGTGCCCTACTCACTGAGCCACAGGCGCCGCCCTCTAATTTTTAAAAAAATTTGTATAATTAAACATGAAGAAGAAAAGGTTCATTTTTTTTTTTGTGGTTTTTGGCCGAGGCTGGGTTTGAACCCCCACCTCCAGCATATGGGACTGGTGCCCTACTCCTTTGAGCCATAGGCGCCGCCCGAAAAGGTTCATCTTGAAATTGAGACTCTTACACTCAGATCTGCAGCTTGAGTTTCTCACCTGAGTACAAAATAGGTAGAAAAAAATGCCCTGCACATTAGACAAACATGGTAAGGACAGGACTAAGTGCTCCCCCGAGGCCACCCAGCAGACATCCTCAGTTAGGGTCTGTCCTCCCTTCCCTAAGGGTACATTCTGCTATTGCAGGTAAGTTTTGCTTAGGTTTGAAGGTCATATAAATGGGATCAAATGTTCTGCATTCTTTTGGTTTGGTTGCACTGATTAGTCATTACATTTGTGACAGTCACCATGTTCATTGTCATTGCTACATGGCATTACATAGTACGTATGGACCACAGTCCATCTCACAGGGTGTCACACCATACACATGGATCATGCTCTGTCCCATGCAGGCGTCACCTGCGTGGAGGGACCACGCTCGGTCCTGCTGCATCTTGTCTCATTGTGTAAGTAGACCATACTCTTCGGTAGATCCTAGCTTCATTTTTTTTTTTTTTCTGTTGCTTTTTATATGTGTTTGAAGTTCATATGTACATTTGGTGACTTTTAGGGGATGTATATACCATTGACCATTGAACAAAATGCATCTGAACATAAAGATACACTTACCCCTGAATTTTTTTTTTTAGCAAATCTAGTTCCAAAACACATTATTTGCTCAATATTAAAGCCATGCATGCAGAGTGCACACTTTTCCTTTATGCAGAGTGACAGGGCTGACTGTGGGTCCATTCTGCACAGATTTTGCTATTTGCAAGAGTTCTTGAACCAACCCTCCTCAGATACTGAGAATTGACTGTTTTTGTGGGTGCTGCCAAGCAGAGTTTTAAAGTTTTTGTCCCAGTCTTGTCTCCTGGAGTGAGGTCTGAGCCTCACAGCTACTCTGTATTCTCCTTGTACTTGTTTCTTTCCACATCAGCCCTTCCCATTAGTGCCGTAAGGCCTGCTTATAGTTTTTAATTTCATGATGATTAATGACATTTAATACCTTTTCCAACATCTATTAGCCAGTTAGATATTCTCTTTTTTTTTTTTTGAGACAGAGTCTCACTATGTTGCCATCAGTAGAGTGCTGTGGCATCATAGCTTACAGCATCCTCAAAACTCTTGGACTCCAGTGATTCTCTTGCCTCAGCCTCCCAAGTAGCTGGGACTAGGCAGGGTTTGAACCCTCTAGCCTTGGTGTATGTGGCTGGCGCTCTACTTACTGAGCTGTGGGCACCCTCTAGATACTCTCTTTTTGATGTATGTGTTCAAATCTCTTAACTCTTTTCTATTGAATTACCTGTATTTTTCTGATTGTTTTGAAGGAGTTCTGTATATGTTATAAACATAAGCTGTCTCTTCTGGTTAGTTTGCATTTTGTAGTTTTATTTAAACGAAATCAATAGTCTTTAGAAAAATTTTAAAAGGACATATAATTATATATATTTTGGGGGTATCTGTGATATTTGGATACATATATGCAATGTGCTGATCAAATCAGGATAATTGCAATACCCAGAACCTCAAATGTGTGTTCTTTGAATTGGGAACATTACAATTCTTCTCTTCTAGCTATTTCGATATATACAATAAAAAATTACTATGATTTCACAATTGTACTGCGAAATACTAGAGTTTATTCCTCCTCTGTAATTACATTTCTGTACCCCTTAACCAACTTCTCTTCATCCCCGCGGTTCCCTTCCCAGCCCCTGGTAGCCACCGTCCTGCTCTCTGCTTCCATGGAACCCGCTTCATTAGCTCCAACACTGAGGGATGGCACGCAATGCCTGCCTTTTTGTGCTTGGCTTATTTTACTTAACATAATGACCTCCAGTTCCATCCATGTTGCTGCAGATAACAGGAATCCCTTCCTCTGTGTGGGTGAACAATGTCCCACTGTGCACACAGGCCACATTTCCTTTCTCTGTTCATCTCTTGTTAGACACTGACATGGGTTCCATATCTTGATATCTTGGCTCCTGTGAATAGTGTCGTAGGCAACATGGCCTTGCCCTTATCGCATCCATGCATGGACTTTCTGTCTTTTGGATATACCTGTGGCCCACCAGGGGGATTGCTGGTCACATGTCCCTTCTGTTTGAGGTTTTCTGAGTGGCCTCCACACTGTTTTCTGGTGTGGCTGTGCTGATTTCAATTTCCACCAACAGTGCCTGAAGGCCCCACATTCTGGTCAGCATTCATTGTATTTTCTGTTCTTCTCTTATAGCAACAATTCTAATATGGTGAGATGATACTTTATTGTGGTTTTAGTTTGCATTTCTCCAATAATTAGTGATATTGAACAATGTTCTGACACTTACTGGCCTTTTGTACATGTTCTTTCCAGAAATGTCTATCCAGTTGTTCTGCTTGTTGGATCCTCCTGTCAGCTCCCAGCTGGCCTTGCTTTCCTAGACCTAGCCCTCTGGTCCTCCTGTCAGCTCCCCCCGGCCTCGCTTACCTAGACCGAGCGCTCTGGTCCTGTCAGATCCCGGCCGGCCTCGCTTACCTAGACCGAGCGCTCTGGTCCTGTCAACTCCCGGCCGGCCTCGCTTTCTTAGACGGAGCGCTCTGGTCCTCCTGTCACCTCCCCCCAGATGGCCTTGCTTTCCCAGACCCAGCGCTCTGGTCCTCCTGTCAGCTCCCGGCCGGCCTCGCTTTCCCAGACCCAGCGCTCTGGTCCTCCTGTCAGCTCCCGGCCGGCCTCGCTTTCCCAGACCG